GCTGAACTGGTTTGAAACTGGACAGACATTCTCTCAACTGAGGAAATTGAGGCACATGACTGCAGTGGCTCAGCCTAGAAGCTGGGGGTGCTAGAGCAGCCCTCCTTTCCCTTCTGCAGGAAGCTGAGCTGAGGATGGCATGGCTAGGCCCCAGCAGGACTCTCTCATTAGAGACGTCTGCCTGCATGGTCCCAGGCTTTTCCCTGCTGGCTGCTCAAGGGGCAGGCATGTTGCCAGCTCTCAGCTCTGGGCTAACACTCTGAGGCAAAGCGGGGGTGCAGTGCATGCATCTGCTGATGATATAGAGCTTTTCAATCTCCCTACCTGCTTCATCATATTGTCTGCAGCAAACTGACAGGCGAGAAAGCCATCCAGGGGGCTGATAACAGTCTTTATCTTCTGATTAGCAAAACAATAGCCCCTCTCCACATTACTTCAAACTTCTTAAACAGTTTACCAGCTGACCTTTTGATTAGCTCCAAAAACCCTAAGTGGTCACTGTTCTGTCTGCCTATCCCAGTGAAATTGGAGAGAGACACACACAGACACCTCTCAGTGTTAGCTAGCATACCACATGCTGGCTACAGTCCGTGCTGTGGCAGAGAGAAGAAAGAGATCTCTGCCTAAGCAGCGAGTGGTGAGATGGGGAAGAGGGGGCATGAGCAAGCCAGCAGACCCTGCTGTGCCTGTAAGTCTGTGCTGAGCCAGGAAGCAGAGGGGAGGAGCCAGCCCTGCTGTGGAGCAGAGACCCCCGCCCAGCCCACAGAGCATGGTGGGATGCTGTGGGACTCAGATTTAAGTTAAACCAGCAAGGGATCTGGGACAGACATTGCATAAACTGGTTTGAGGCAAATCAGCTAAGACTGACACTGTATTTAACCAGGTTTATCTCAGACCAGTTTCAGCCTTTTTCAAACTGGTTTATATGCATTGAACTTCTGTTCTGTTACAGGTTTAAACCAGTTTCTGGTCACTAAAACCGGTTTCTGTGTAAAGCCTGTCCCTAGCCAATGAGTCCTCAATTTTGGTTGTACTCCTCAGACTCACTGTAAGAGAAAAGTAATCTTGGTGGATATATGTCAGAAAATTTGGAGGGTTTAATTTAGCCAGCATTGTAACTCTAGAGCATAAAAATTATTTTATATATATTTCACTTTCCATAACTTTCTCATGGCCGAAGATATTTCTTACACTAAAAATAAATAAAGTGCACTTATTGGACAGGCCATCATAGAAAGTTTAACCTCCAATTCAAAGACGATTTTTTTTCCAGAAAAATATTAGCATGTGAAAAGTGTCAGGGAACTTTAACTATAGTAACTGCTGCTAGGCAACCCCTATCATAAAAGAAAAACATCATGATGAGTACGTTTCCATTTAACCTAGAAAGGAAAGGCCTGTAGTCAACATTCTTCTTTTTTATGATTTAACATTTTTCTTTTATTTATTTCAAAAGCCAATTTTACATTTCATTAGGTATAACAATATGTCATCAGTCTCACATACAATTACACACAGAGGAAGTAATATATAGCACATCAAAGTTAAATACACAATACAGAAAGAAACGAAAGGACAAAGCACCTTACCCTGAATAATCCAACCATGCCATAGTGATACCATGCCAGAATTAGACAGCATGAAGCAGAAAATATGTCTATAAATATAATTGTTTCTCAAGGAAGGGCTTACAGTAAGCCCTATGATGCAATATATAGAAGAAAACTAAATTCATGTTAGAGAGAGGCCTCACAGGAACTTTAGATCTGATCCCTCTACTTCATACCAACATTTTGAGAGATTTACTTTTTATCACTTAGTCAGAATTTATCCTAGTGGTTTGGTTCTGGGTGAGTTTTTTTATTAAAAAATGTGGAGCACTCATGACAGCTACTGATTCTGAAGTTGGAAGAGTACTTGGGACCCTAACTAATCTTTTGCTTGCCCTTCACGATGACCTGAAATCCTGAGGTAATAGATTCTGAATCCTGAATCCATCTCAAACCCAAGCTGCCAATCCTTGTTTATATCCTGCCTAGATACAAGCTGAAATAGTTTGGTCCATCCTTCCTATAAATACATCCAAATTACCACACATCAGTTTACTAATGGAAATATGTATTGGCATCTTTCTACTATTACTATGATGTTATCAATACCGATAGTGATTTTAGAAAGGTTCAGAAGTGCTGATAAAAATAATATATTACTGTGAGTGCTCATTTATACCAATGAACTGTTTAAAAATAAGATACATTGTATAATACACATAGGTACAGAAAACACATGGTGTTTACAACCCCCCAAACCCATGGCATTCATTAAAGGAGTACACAGCATTAGTGATTTCCTTTGCAGGAACAAATGGGAATCTTGTGTTAAGAAAACATACTGGGAAAACAACCTACTGAATAGTAGTTGATGTAAGTGCTGTGGATGGGCATTTGCTTCCCCTGAACCTAGTTGTACTATTTTGGGTTTCCAGGTCTCTAAATTAAAAGGTTGTTTGTTTTATATTTCTACTTAAATAACAACCCCAGTTGTCTTTCCTGCCTAGTGCAGGGGGTGGGGCTGGACCTGATGATCTTGCGAGGTCTTTTCTAGCCTCTTACAGTCTATGAATCTATGAATAATTTTTGTTCATTTCTCCAAGAGTGATCTGGTCAGCATTGAAAGCAAATCTGCTTTTGAAAGAAAGGTATGTACTGTTTTTGTAAGAAATGCAGAAAATGCTAGTGCTACCTAGTAGTGGTACAACAGGAATGTAAATAATTCTACCATAATACCTATTGTTCTAAGAGGAAAATAATTAGTTTATTTTTCATTTGAGTAGCATCAGGCAAAATGTTGGTAAGGACTTTGTTGGATGTTCTGAAGTTACGTTTTGTATAAACTTGAAAATTTTGGAATTGCTGAACATAATATACAGATTATATGCGAGATGAACTGAATAGTCATAGCAGAGTTGATCCTCTTATTCTGCAGTCCAACATGAATACATTTTTAAATAACATTTTAATGATCCTAATTCTGCCACCAAACTTTTTTGGGGTATAGTAATAAGATAAAAATAAACTCTTATTGGAAAGTGTGACCATATACTTAAAATTTTTCCTCTTGGAAAAATATTCTATCACACAGAAGTTCTTCAACAACAGCAGGCTCATATATTGGAGACTTTGGGAACAGTGAATTTTATCTACTCTGATCCTCATGCCAAAATATGCTGGGCACTCAAAAAAACAAAAAGTTCCCCCCCTACCCCAGAAGCTATCTGCATGACAACTAACAGGCAATACTGACAACTTTTATTAGAACTAATGGAGGGATGAGATAACAAAAGAGACAGAGAGTTTTTAATGGATTTGAAAGAATCTGTGTCAGTAGAGCCTGATGAACTCCATCGCAGGGTACTGAAGGAACTGGCAAAGGCTATCTCAGAGCCTCTGGCAATAATATTTACAAAGTTGTGGGAGGTATGCCAGGTACCAGGGGACTGGAAAAGGGCCAAAACAGTGTCTTCTTTAAAAAGGGCAGAAAAGGAGGACCCAGAGAACTACAGACTGGTTAGCCTCACCTAGGTACCTGGGGAGTAACTGAAGCATATCATAAGGAAGTAATTTGTAAGCACCTGGAGGAGCCAGCAGCCAGCATGGATTTACTGTGAACAAATTGTGCAAAACAAACATGATCTCCTTTTCTGACCAAGTAACTGCTAGGGTGGATGAAGGGAATGCAGTGGATATAGTGTAACCAGATTTCAGCAAGGCTTTTAACAAAGTCCTACATGACCTTCTCATAAACAAATTGGAGAGATGTGGGATAGACAAAATTACTGTAAGGTAGATAGACAATTGGCTCAGTAGCTTCAAGCAAAAAATACATTTTTAATGGATCCATGCTAGAATACCAGGAGGTTTCACATAGAGTCCTACAGGGGTCTGTCCTAGGCCCAGTGCTATTCAATGTGTTTATTAATGATTTGGATGCGGGCATAGAAAGCTTCTTGAGCAAGTTTGCAGATGATGCAATGTGGGAAGGATTGCAAACACACTGGAAGACAGCAGCATAGAAAGATTTTGATGCACTGGGTTGAAGTCAACAGGATGAAGTTCAGTGCTGACAAATGCAAGGCACTATACCCCAGAAAGAATAATAAAAATGCAAATACCAGATAGGTGACAACTCCCTGGATGGCAGCACTATGGAGAAGGAACTAGGAGTCTTGGTAGATCCCAGGCTCAATATGTGTCTTCAGTGTGATGCAGCTACACAAAAGGTGAATGCAATTTTAGGCTGTGTCAGTAGGAGCCAGAGCCAGATCCAGGGAAGGGGTGCAGTGGTGGATTCACACTCCCCCTTGATTCCTGGTCCACCCAAAGTTTAAAACCAACGGTCTGGTAGGGCTGTGCAAAATGGCACCGTTCCATTTTGACTTGAGTTTCGAGGTTTTGACAGAACACCATTTCAAATTTCATTTTGACTTGAAACCGCTGTTCCGTTTCCTTGAAACAGTGACGCCATTTTGATGTTTCGCCCATACGCTGTAATGGGGAAGCTGGAAACAGCCTCTCTCATCCGGCAGGCAGATGGGGGCCCACAACCCCAGGAGGGCTGCAGGGGCTGTGCCAGTCCTCCCGAGGCTGCGGGTCCCCATCTGTCTGCCAGATGAGGGAGGGAAGCCGGGTGCTACCTCCTGGGACTGGGGTGCTGGGGAAGGGAACTGAGCCTGATTGCTCAGTTCCCCTCCCCAGCACTATGATCGATCGGGCTGGGAATCCCTACTGTCTGGCAGTGTCCGCAGTATTCTATTCAGGTGACAGTGAGTGGGTCACTTGATTTTGTGACTCATTATAATCTGCCTGATTCCTTCTAAACTTTTTATTCCACAGGTGTTAATGACCCTTCTCCTTTTTTAATGGTTTTAATGTCCCATTAAGCAAGCTATACTTTCTTTTGCAACTCTTCTGTCTGGTAGCTGGTCTTTATAATGTAGCTTGTATTTCATAAATCTGCAGATTGGTTTTAACTCTAGCTAAAAACATTAAATCAGGTGTGGAAACAACCCAGGTGTGGAAATACTCTTCAGTGAAACTCAAGAAGGCTAGATTTTGTTTTATAATATGGAAGATGTACATATAATTCTAATGACTACAAGACTAAAGAAACAATATTTTTTATTTTTTGCCTAGTTTGTGTTTTTGAGTCTAATATATGATATAACAAATAAATGCACATTCCAATAAATTTATCTTTATTCTTGCTTTGATGTAAAACTAAATAATATAGCTGTAGGCCTCTAGCATATTAGCAAAGCTTTTCGTTTCTTTTTACTTGGAGAAAAATATATGTTGTGTTATATATGGCACCATATCATCTGCACACCAATTTCAAAATCCTAGATCCACCCATGATAGGAGCATTAGGTGCAAGACACAGGAAGTGATAGTACCTCTTCATTGACACTGATTAGACTTCATTTAGAGTATTGTGTTCAGTTTTGGACTCTGCCTTTCTAAAAGGACATGGAGAGGCTAGAGAGGTCAGCTGCCCATAGGCAGGAGACAAAAATGATAAAGGCCTTGGAAGGCAAGCCCAACAAGGAGAAGTTGAAAGAAATAGGCATATTCAGTTAAAGAAACAGGTGATTTAAGAGGGGGCATGATAGTAGTCTTCATATATCTAAAGGGATCCCATAACAAAAAGGGAAAACACCTTTTACTCTTTTGTACACAGTAGGATGCAGACCAATAATTTGAAGTTACAGTGAAGTAGTAGGTTAGGTTCTGACTGGATATCAGGAAAAAAATCTTCCTGTTATAATAATAAAATAGACTGCGTAGGAAAACTGTGGAATCTTTATAATGGGAGACGTTCAAGAAGAGGTTGGATAAGCAATGGTCAGGGATGACCTGGGAATAGATATGTCTGGAGTGCTCTGTAAAGAGCAACAATTCAAAGCCCAGGAGCTTCCCCCTACATACACACACATGGCTTGCTGAAAGATAGTGAGAAGATTTTTGCACCCTGAACTGGGTGGATATTGGAGAGGATCATACTCTGTGGGTGCATCTACACAAGATGCTTTACGGCACAGTAGCACAGTTTACTGCACAATAAGCATGTGTGTCTACATGTGCACACACTACAGTACAGTACAGTTACTACACAGTAAACCTTGCTAATCGCTAATAAATACGCTACAAGCAAATGCAAGTAGCAATTTTACTTGTGATTAGTAGCTGCTTAGTAGTGCTGTTGTAGACTCCTGGCTGGGAGCAACTCTGCTCCTAGTCAGATGGCCACCAGGGGGCAGGAGATTGTTCCTTGCCCCCAGGAGCTGTCTGATGACAGGCAGGCGCTGCCACCAGAGCCCAGGTGGGGAATATGTTCCCCTGTCCCAGCAGCATGGAGCTCCAATCTTCCTGCTCTGAGTTTGTGATCAGGGAGTGGAGACTGGGATATCCTTAACTCCCAGCCCCCACTTCACCACCATGATCAGGGAGCAGGGGGCTGGGAGATAAAGATTGGAGCTGGTGCTGGTAGATAAGGATCTCCCAGCACCGGCCCTGTGAACACTGAGCTGGCTTTGGGAGATAACCCAGGGGGCTGGGACCTGCCCCTTCACTGCAGTTCTTTCTAAGTCCCCTGCCCCTGATTGGGGAGCTGGGACCAGGAGTTCCCTGCTGTCAGGGCAGGGGGTCATTGTCCCTGCCCTGGAAGTAGGTAGCCCCCAGGGGGCAGGGTGCCATGTCTCAGCCCTTGCCAGGAGACAGCTGTCTGCTTGCCAGCCCCTGGGTTAGCACAGAGGGGAAGTCTAGAGTTCCCCTTGGTGGTGGCAGGGGTCCACTGCAGGGCCCCAGAAAGCAGAAGCAGTTTGCTGCCATTAGCAGTAAATCTGCTCCCACTTCCCTGCATGTGTGGATGCCTGACTGAGAGCATTTACTCATGAGTTGTTTACTCCTGAGCAAACTGTTCCCAAATCTAATACACATGTAGATACACCCAGTGGTCAAGAGAATGAAGCAAAGCTCTACAATCTACCCTAGTTATGAAAGAAGTTTAAAAGAGCTGGGATAAGATTTGTGGAAGGGATACATAAAGGGAATTCCAGCTGTTTAGTAAGGGGGTGTCATGTATTGATGTTTTCTTGTTGTCCCCAGGTATCACAGCAGAATGAGGGTGTTAGGTATTTCCCATGTTTCTGGGCATGCTTGTTGCCACATGGGTCCAGGAAGCACTTTTTTCCCCTT